CTAATGGTATATGCAGTAACACAGATGACTTTTACAGTGAGTGTTGAGATAGTCCATGGAGGCATGGCTCAAGTGGTAGTGCATCTGCCTAACAAGTGTAAGGCCCTGGGTTCAAATGCCAGTACTAGAAAAGAAAGAAAGAAGGAAGGAAAGAGGGAAGGAGGGAGGGCAGGCATGTGCTCTAGGATGCCATTTATATGAAACTGAAGAATAGGCAATACTGTTCTCTGACACCGAGGTCAGAATAGTAGTTCCCCTTAGGGGCTGGCATTGACTAAGAGGGAGTGTGAAAGAGCTGTCTAGGATATTGGGAAAGATTTTGATTTGATCTACTGGCAGTTACATGGTACAATTTTTTTTTTGACTTTTATACTTAAAATGTTCATTTTACTGTATATAGGTTATACCTCAATGAAAAGTAAACTTTGAAAATTCCACAAAGTAAGGGGTATTTTGAATGAGCTTCATTCTGGAATATTGCCCAGTTGTAGAACCTTTTCTTTCTCAAACTTCATTAAATTTAGAGAAAAAATTTCATGAAGTATTATCATCTCCATTTACAGGGGAAGAATGTGAAGCTCGTCGATATTAAGTGATGAGTTCATATACCGGGAGGAAAAGAGTACCTCAGGTTTTAGGATTTTAAATCTACAGCTGACTTCAGGTTGCCCTTCTGTTTCACTGTGATCGTGGAATGGCAATTGCAGTACTTTTATACGACTTATAACATCCAGCACAGTCCCCCTACTTACTGGGTACACAATAAATATTTTCTGATTTGAAAAATAGCAGTTACATATTTGATGAGTATATGTTAAAAATTATCACTAATGTTTAACTTCAAATCGTAGGTTTAAGCTTTGTTTTTCTGCCTGCTGATTTTTACCAAATAATTTCTCTTGGATTCAGAAGTCTCAAATGTTGACTTTAAGTCCTTATAGTGAAAACATCTGTGTGAGCTATTTGACATTTCTCTTTCTTGTCTTTTATTTAACTCTAAAGTTACATAAATTAATGTGGTAGCAAAGTATGATTTTCTTTCTTTTCCAGAAGTTAATTTTAAGTAATCTGAATTAATATTCTTGGACATAAATCCCACCTATACCAAATTACTTACTCTTTTTTTTTTTTTCAGTACTGGGGTTTGAACTCAGGGCCTCATGCTTGCTAGGCAGACACTCTTACTGTTTGAGCCATTTTGGCAGTCCCCAGATTACTTACTCTTAAACCACAATTCTAACACTGTATGGACAAAATAGATATAACCAAAGAATTTAATCATTAGACAGGAAGGAAGGAGAAGCAAAAAGAACTCTATAGTCTTAAGAAGGAATCTTTGTGTCTGTTGGAGAAGGTTGTAATAGTAGAGTAGACCCTGTTTCTGACCCTAGTGTTGAATGAAGCTGCTTCAGAAGAGATTCTTCTCCTCTGACTTCCTAGAATCCTGGAAGAGTGAGTGCCACAGACAGATATGTATTTCTGTTGCCTGATCTTTTATGGGGGATTTGCTGGTCAGGTACAATAGGTTCAGTTTAGCTTATATACTCTGAGCCCCCATTGCCAGAACATGCCAAAACCTACAATTTTGTTTTTTAGGTGCTCAAATATTTAGTGTTACAGCACATCTTATAAGACAATTCCAGATAAATGCCTGCTACCAAGTTAAGAGAACTTAACCGTGTTATACTCAAAGGTCCTTGTATGTGCTTCTCCACATCCTGTTCCTTTTCTTCAACCTCAGAGAGAGAGAAACACTGTCCTGAATTAGTATTTTTTTATTTTCCTTATCTCACTTTACTCTTTGACTATGTGTGTTCATATCATCAAATGATATCTGTTTTTCTTAACATTGTACTGTCTGTATGTTTTGAACTTGTTTTTCCCTCAGCATTGTGGTGCTGAGATTTATCTTCACTGTTGCATGTAGTTGTAGTTCATGTTCCTTTGTGTGTTGTATTCCATTATATAAATTTGTAATAACTTACACATCTCTTCTGAGGATGGAATTTATATTTGGATTATAATTAACATAATTTAGAAAGAAAAAGTACTGGATTTCAGAGGAAATCAATCTTATATTCATGTGATAGAATAAGGCATATTTTTTCCCATTTCCATGGGAAAATCTCACGTAGGAAGATTGACCACTGTGTAGACATTCTTGTCTTTATCTGCGTATCTAAGCAGGTATTCTTTCTATTTGAAATGCTGTAAGTTAGCATAGTGTCAGTCTGTTTGACCGTTAGGGCAGAGGTCGGTGATGCTGTATAACTCTACTAAAGTCTTCTTTTAGAGAGAGACCAGTAAAAGAAGCCTTCAGAGTTACATTGTTTACACAGCCCAAAAGCTGTCACCGAGTCCTTAAAGTGAAGCGTGACATTGTGCATTGATGCACTAATGGACAAAGAAGTACAGAACAGAATGAAGGATGTCCTTTGGGAAGTTGACAGAGTCTGTTACAAATGTAGTATCAAACTGCAGTGAGATGGAACTGAAGACTTACAAAGCACAGGCACACTTCCTTTGAGACATGGGACTTGCCACAAATGGCACATCTAGTTTGTTGAGCTGTCCCATTCAGACCTTTTATGAGCCCATCAGAATATTGAGTGGCAGAACAAGGTCTTCAGCAGCAAATACTTGGAAGGCAGCCTACGTACCAGCTTGGAAGTAATTCTGCAACGCAGCTCCACCAAGCTGGATGTGTGTACAAAATGAACTACAGCAGGGCTCCTAAGTGACTATTCAGTAGCAAGCTGAGGTGGGGAAAAGCAGAAGCTGAGAAAGCAAAAGGACTGTCTTGGGATTCCCGGCAGTTCACCCCTAAGCAGCGAGGCTGAATGGGCAAGCCCAGCTGCTGCAGAGCAGCCTGGCATGCAGCTGCAAGGGCTGGGTTTGCTCTGTGTGAGCAAAGGCTTCAGGCTTGCTGTGGAGTCTAAAGAGCTGGACCTCAATGACAGGCTATTTAAATAGCAGGCACAGCTGCTAACAAAAGGGCAAACTTGATGTGTGTGGCTGGAAGAGCTTGTAGGTCTCCTTTTATTGTCTTTGGCCATACCAATGAATCCAATTCAGGAAAGACACTTACACATACACAATTGTATATAAATAGAAATAAGTTGTATTCTACTACTTCCCCTTCCCCTTTTCTCAAAACAGAAAAAAAAGGTTAAGTGTAAAAAGAATCATTGGTTGCATTGAAATACTAGAAAGCATGAGGTTTGTTTTTGTTTGGCACTACTGGGGATTTAATCCAGGGCCTCTCCAATGCTAGGCAAGTACTCTACTGCTGAGCTACATCCCCAGCCTGAAAGTACCAGAAGTATAGCAATTTATCACTATTAGTTTTCCTTCTTTACAAGTCTCTTCACATTTTTATTTTGACAGAATGTTTAAAAGACTAAGAATTATTATTACCAATATTGTAATAACACTTTAAACTTCATAGTGCCTTGTAGTCATTTTACTATGAGCTGTTCTCTAGTTCCTTTCCTGTGGATTTCTTTCTCACAATTGCTTATTTATCCTTGTTTCCTCCTGGGGCCAGCACAGTAGAGGCTGTGTGCTACCTAATGGTTGTTCAATGAATGTTTAACTGGACTAGATTCCAAGGATTAAGATGGCAGTCCATGGCAGCCTGGCACGTGTAGATGTGTAGTTTTTACCAGCCATTCTTATTCTTAGTAGTTTTGAGTAGTCTCGTTTCAGTAATCTGAATATATTAGATAGACTTGTAACGGGTTGACACTTTACCTTTTTTGTCCTGAGCCTGTGACATTTATGGCTTTTCATCTATTTTCCTATCTTGTTGGAGACATTAAGTGTCACCTTTTCTAATAATCAGGAATGAAACTCCGTGGCTCTCTGATAAATTAGGTGAATTAAAAGCATGAGTCTGGAAAAGAGATAACAGATGCAAAAACAATACATATAAAGGATCTGAAGTACTATAAATATAAATACAAATATGAAGAGAGAAAAGGAAAACAAGAAAAGACAGTTCAAGAAAGAACTAATATTTAGACACAAAGTGAGAGTCACTTACCACATAACCAAAGAAATAACTACTGTGTTGAGAAACCTTAAAACTTTACTGTTTGGAGACATGTTTCACATTATATGAAACAAAATATGCCACTCTGTATTAGTTTTATTTATTGTCATTATTATTATTAATATTATTAGTATTATTTTGGCAGTACTGGGGTTTGAACTCGGCTTCACGCATGGTAGGCAGTTGCTCTACCACCTGAGCCATTCCACCAGCCCTTTTTGTGTTCAGTATTTTCAAGATATGGTCTCATGAATTATTTGCCTAGGATTTACTTTGAACCATGATCCTCCTGATCTCTGCCTCCTGAGTAGCTAGGATTACAGGTGACAAGCCACCAGCACCCAGCTTGTCAACATTCTTAATCACATTTGGAGACTTGTATAATTGGAATGATCCTGTGATTTTTACCTTCAAAGCATGAATAATATATTTACACATAAATTACTTTGTTTATAAGATTTCACTGTTAAGCCTGCCATTTGTAATTTGTTGAGTGAGATATTGAATTTTTCCAATATAGGCAGAGAAAATATTTTTGTTATAAAAAATAAATTAATAAACTATGTAAAATAGTTGGATTCTGAATTCTGCTCCTTCAATCCTTTTCTTTCTTTTAAAGCTTTTTAAAAAAGTTACCTATTCTTAGAACAATGTTGAATAAAGTTATTGACTTTCCATTACATTAAGATTATTTGATGGAGATAGTCTTTGTTGCCCTCTGTTGGTGATTAATAGTTACTTTTGGAAAAATAATTGTTGCCATGTGTATCATTTCTGTGTATTTAATAATTGTGTACTTCTGAGTAAAAAATTAAAAGCCAGTCTAATGGTTGTTGTTGGGAATTATCAAAAATGGCAGGCTTCTTGATTTAATAGTTTTATTAACTAAGGTAGTATTAAAATATTTTTGTCTTTGATTAATTTTTATTTTTTATTTTTTTGTCAGAGCTCCACCTCAAATTAGGCGACCCAATCGAGAAGTAAGACCTCTGAGGAAGGAAATGGCAGGAGTAGGAGCCCGGGGACCTGTAGGCCGAGCACATCCTATATCAAAGAGTGAAAAGCCTTCTACAAGTAGGGACAAGGATTATAGAGCAAGAGGGAGAGATGACAAGGCAAGACTATTTCTTTGTAATCTACTCACTTGAAGCCTGTGACTTTAATGGATAGTATGATTTTTGTTGACATTTTAGGGAACACTGATTTTGATCTGGAGGAGTTAAAAGAAAGTCTGATTCAAAACCTAAGTGGTCTTTATATTTTGAAGGTCATGCTATAAATGCAAATAATCTCAGAGGTAAGTAAATATGTACATACACACTCACACAGAGTGTAAATGTATTTAGTAAATGGATCCTTTTGTAGTAGCATTCCAAATAGTGCTTGAGTTTGAAAGTTTTTTTTTTTTTTTTTTTTTTTTGCAGTACTAGAGTTTGAACTCAGGGCCTTGCATTTTCTAGGCAAGCGCTCTTCCACTTGAGCCACACCCTCAGCCCTTTTTCGAATAGGGCCTTGTGTTTTTGCTCAGGCTGGCCTGGACTTCCATTCTCCTATTAACACTTCTTATAGCTGGGATGAAAGGTGTGCCCCATGATGCCCAGCTCTTACTGGTTGAGATGTGGTGGGAGGGCTCACTGAATTTTGCCTTGGCTGGCTTTGAACTGTGATTCCTCCTGATCTCTACCTCTCAAGTAGCTAATAGGATTATAGGTGAGAACTACCATGCCTAGCTTAAAAATGTTTTGAAAAATAGCTTAACAGATATTCTGAATTAAAATGAACAAGAAGTGAAAACATAATTGTAGGAGAAAGACTTACAAGAAAGCAAACTGGACATGATGGTACATGTCTATAATCTCGGCTACTTAGGAGATAAGGTAAGAAGATCAAGAGTTCAAGGTTAGCCCAGGCAAAGTAGAGACCTTATCTTAAAAACAAAAACAAAAGGGCTGGGGCTGGGACTCAAGTGGTAGAGTACTTGCTTTGTATGTGTGAGGCCCTGGGTTCAATCTCCAGTACCTCCCCCCAAACACACACAGAAGTAGATGTACATATTCACAGAACAAGATGAGAAATGATATACTATTGCTAAAATTAAAAAAAAAAGAGTAATCTGTGATTTATCTGAAATTACAGAGCAGAACAAGATTTTTTCTTCTCTAATGGGAAAATTTCCCATGGTTAATATTCATTGTGCACATTTACTTATCTGGGAAATTGATTGGCAAATACACATAGTACTGGGTAGAGATTTTGTCCTGCCTGTAAAGTGGACTTTAGAACAGTGTTTTTGTGCTTGTTTGTCTGTTTTTCAGTACTGGGAATTGAATTCAGGGCTTTCAGTTTGCTGTATTGTTTGAGCCATGCCTCCAGCCCTAGAACAGTGTGTTGAAAATGATCTTTTTTCTGTTGTTAAATATTTTTTTATTATCATATTATTGTTGTACTGGGGATACATTGTGACATTTACAGAAGTGCTTATAATTATATCATAATTGAATTCACGACCCCTCCATCATTCTCCTTTATTCCTTCTTTCCCCAGAAAATGATCTTAAAGAGTAAAGAGCTAGCCGGGAAGACAGAAAGTTTTAGTGATAGCATTTACCATTCATTGTGATGTCATAAATAAATGATGTTGTAGTGGACTGCTACAAAGAAGCTTTATTTTCCTAGTTAGAAATCCAGGATATGTCCTCAAATTCATGCCATAAATCATGATTTGTATAATGATAATGAGTGCTTATTCTTCACAATTGTATGCTACATTTGATTTTTACTACATATAATTTATTTTTTTGGTAGCACAGGGGTTTGAACTAGGACTTCATCTTGCTAGACAGGTGCTATACCTCTTGAGTCAAGCCTCCATCCCTTTTGCTCTGGTTATTTTGGAGATAGGGTCTCACATTTTGCCCAGGCTGGCCTGGACCACAGTCCTCCTAATTGTACTTCCAGCCATTGCTAGGATGACAGGTGCCCACCACTGTGCCCAGCTAGGTTGAGGTGGGGTCTTTTGGCAACGCCCCATTTTTCCACCTCCCCACCCTGCTGGGCTCAAACCATAATATTCCAGATCTGTGCCTCCCAAATAGCTAGGTTTACAGGTGTGAAGCACTGGCACCTGGCTTACTACATATAATTTTGATCAGTAGATTAGGACTCTAAATAGAACAGCTTCTTAGGTCTTATGGGTGTTGAGATCATAGTAGAATAAAACTGATATTTTATGAGTATTTCTAATTTATGGAATAGATTCAAAGACATATTCTACCTCTCTGTCCTACTGGGACACTGAAACTGAATTATATATTTTTTATGTTTGAAATACTTGGAACTTATTCCACAAAATAATATCTGAGGTCATCCAGATCGTTTTGGAGATGAGTGAGAGGTATTAATAAAAAATATTTTTTTCTGTTGATGAAATTGAGCTGCTTCCCCTCCTCCATAATCAGCTGTCACATGGATACTTGGAAATCTGTATCTTAAGTGTTGTTTTTGTTCTTTTCTCTAGTTTTGTGTAGCTAACCTTGTTTGCATGTTAGAGAGTATAGTAGGGACTGAAGTGCAAACCTCACTGTGTTGTTGGGTTGCAGGTAAACTTTTAGGAAAAGGTGAGGAACTTCACTGTTTTAACTTCATAGACCAGAAGAGAACTGTGGCTATGGTTTATTAGATGCTTCTTTTGTATGCACCATTCAGAGTGATTACACAAAAATTCATGAAACAATCCTACTCTGCTTTTTGCTGTTGAATAAACTATAGTATAGAGAGCTACAGGAACTTGCTGAAGGCCTTAGAGTGAGAATGGGAATTTGTTTACCTTAAGATTTTTTTTGTTAGGTAGCATCCCTACCTATCAAGTTAGGTTGAAAATCTGGATTGTAGTTGGAAAAAGAAATTATGAACAATTAAATAAATACTGATTTTTAATCGTTACTCTTTCCTTTTTTTTTTGGGGGGTGGAACTGGGGTTTGAAGCCAAGGCTTTGCATTTTCATGCAGGTGTTCTATAGCTTACGCCACACTGTCCAGTCCATTATGTTCTGGTTGTTTTAGAGATGGGGTCTCGAGAACTATTTGCCTGGGCAAGCCTTGAACTTTGATCCTCCTGATCTTAGTCTCCCAAGTAGCTGGGATTACAGGTGTGGATCATTGGCACCTGACTCATTGTTACTCTTAAACTAGGAGCAAAATAATCCAACAGCATTTGTGAATGTTGAATATATTTTTCTGGGGATTGTAAATAGTTTTTAATTTTTAATGTCTCCAAATAATGTTCTAAATTTTAAGTTATTCTTTTATTGACATGTTAAGTATGCAAATGTCACAAGGAATTATGCCATAATTTTTTTTAAAGAACTCTACAGTGGTTTGAAGATAAAAGAGATCTTTCAGAGTCATTATGAAAATTAAAGGGACTACAACCTTAAAAAATAAATTCATGGAAACTTCATTAGAATTTGAAAGGTGTGTTTGCTCAGTTCTGATTGTTATAATCATTCAAGTATTTATTAGAAGACTAGAATCTTGAAAACTAAACTGAAGAATGGTAGGGTTTGAGGCAACTTAGGTAAAACTGGTAGACATCCAATTCCATTAAAGGCTGATTTAAAAGTAAATTTTGGAAGGATCTTTGCAGGTAGTTTCTGTGTTGCAAAGAATTTAAGCAACACCAACAATAAATGAGGTAGAATAGACTAGAAAAATCAGTGTTCATTGCTCATAGTAAAGACAGTATTATCTTGAGAAAAAATTTAGTTAGGTCACTGTATAAAAATTTAGTTAGTTCAGTGTATAAAAATTTAGTTATATAGACATACGTTCTTGTAGACTCTCATTATCTAAAATACACTTACTATTTTGTGTGATAGTCAGAATTTTTGAAAGCTGCCGCTATTTTTCATCCACTTAAGATATAAAAAGTGAGGATAAGAGAAATTATCTATCTTGCCCAAGGTCCCTGGTATATTTGGTTTTTAGTTTAGTGTTGAGAACTGTATGATAGAACAACTAATAATAGCATTGGTAGCAGATGTTACTTTTCCTTGAGTGCACTTATCTTTTTGAAGTTTTCTACAAAAAGCTCCTTTTGAAGCTTTTTCTGTATATTGGTTTATTTGATCCCTACACTCCTGTGAGCTCAGTATTATGTTCCCTGTTTTATGTATGAAAGAATTGAGGCACCAAAGTCTTAGCTATAAATAGACAATGGAACCAGGATTTGAACCCATTCTCCCTGTAATTCTGCAGCTTTTAATCATGCCACACAGCCTCTTGTTTGAAAATGCTTCCTGTCTTGTCTTAATGTTCCATAAATACTTCTTTCTTAGAAGGGTACCAGTTCATTTTCTGAGTGATTACATAGTTTCTTCTTCTACTATTTTAGACCTAGGCTTCAGGCTAGGTCTAAGCTTAAAATGCTGTTTTTTTTTTTAAATAAGTAGCAGTCAGTTTGCATAGTGATTTGTTATTAAGGCCATGTTTCTCTCCCCGCTCCCCGCCCCCAAGTCCACAGGTTATCTATAAGATCAGTTTATATCCCCTTAATTTAACGATCTTTAAGTGCATACTTTGTGTCAGTTGTGTTTCTAGATACTAAAAATATAAATGAATAAAATGTGCCCTTCTGTAATCCCAGCACTCAGGAAGCTGAGGCAGGAGGATTGTTGGCTTGAGGCTAGCCTGGGCTAGAAAAAAATGAAAAAGGAAAAAAAAAAAAAAGCTTCTAGTGTCACGCTGTTTATTTTTTTACTGTTAAGAAGGAGTGAGATGAACAAATTCAGCTACTTTTTCAGCCTTATTTGAATGTACCTGGTGTCTTAGTCTGTTTAGATGGTATAACAAAAGACTGAGTGATTTATTAGCAATACAAATGTGTTGCTTACAGTTCTACAGTCTGGGAAGTCCAGGATCAAGGCAGTTCCTCACTGGTGCCATCCATGAGGAATAGGTGGAAGGGTCCATCAGGCTTCCTTAGATATTTTTTTAATAAGGGCACTACTGCCACTCATAACCAAAGGCCTCTCATCTTAATACATTGGCAACTAGGTTTCAATATGAATAATGGAGGGACACAAACATTGGGAAAATTGGATGTATTATTTTGCCTTTTAAGCTCAGAGGCAG